GCTTTCTCGCCCGGAGCTTCCCTTCACATCTCTGGAACGGCTTGGCTCCTTTCTTTTTTTTTTTTAGGGAACCCCTCCGTTGGGGCGGCTTATAACCCGGTGCGCTTTTTGTATGAAAAAAGTTTGAAAAATTAACGTTAACTGATACTGCGGCTTTTAACCCGGTGCGGCTTATGGTCGTGAAAATACGGTAATTAAGAACCTGTATTTTTTCCGGTTCTCTTGATCCCAAGAGAATGTAGAGAATTATCTCTCAAACTCTTGGTCTATATTTTCTTGAGCTTTACTTTTTATCAACTAAGTGATCCTGGTCTATGAATTATAAAACTCAATTAGTATTTAATATGTTAATAAATTTTGAAAAGAAATGTTACTGTCAAAGATGTAATGTTCAATCTTTAATTTTAATTTTATGATAAATTTTGGCTCATTAAACTTGGAATGCAGCAAAGAGGATAATCCTATCTTTATCTTCCTGATATCAAGGAATAGATTTATTATACATTATTTAATCTATTTTTGAAATGTCATGTTCCAAAAGTGAAAAGATGGCGCAGCATGTTTCGGTGGTTTTAAATATAAGCAGACATTGAGGCTTAGATTAACCTATATTGATATCAAGTATGTTTTAGCTTTTAAGTTTGTTTTATTTTGATCGGTACGGTATATGTAGCTTCTTTTGTATTATATAATCACTGGTGTATTTTGTTGCTGTAGTTACACACCATCAATTAAAAGACAAAACACAAATATCACTTGAGAAATTATAGTCTAGATAGAACTTCTATATAGTTAGATCAATAGATCAGGATCTCATTAAGGATTCTGAAAAGTCCTGGTTTATCTGGTTTAAAAATTGCTGTATGAATAGTTGTAAAAAAAAAAGCATTTAGAGAGGGCTTTGATCTATGGTTTTATTTAGCACAGCTCATGACTTCCATTGGCAGAAAAATATGGATATTTTGCATTGAATTGCAACATAATTACAAACCACTCAGATATAATAGTCTTGAGATATTTGACCAGATTTGAAATTCCCTAGATTAGTTTTACAGTACTTTTTTCTTTTTTTCTTTCAGATATTTGTTTTGCTTATAGACTGCATGTGTCCTGCTAAGTTCAAAGAAGAAAGTTTTGGTATGTATGCATAATGCTAGTGCTTATTGTGTTTGTATATAGTTTCCCAGAAAGAACTCGACAGCAAACGAAATACAAATATAATACACTGAAAGAATCCCTTTAAAACAAACAATAAACTACGCTGCGGTCCTGATAAAATTTGCATGCATCTTGGCCACGGTGTCCTGGGGTAAAGTCAAGTCTTCACTGTTTTCCTGCAGTCCAACAGGGCCAGGGCCATCTATGTCTCCAATACAAGGCTGTTCCATGGGAGGGGCACCATGCCAGAGAAGACAAGCTTCCATGTTCCCACCAGGCAACACTGTTTTACTGAGAGGACCTGGAGCATACTCCCCTTGTCAGTTTAGTAGGAGGGTGGAAACCATTAGGAATAGGCTGTACCACAATTAATCTGGCACCATGCAACATAGGGCTTTAAGGTGACAACCAGTACCTTGAATTGCACCCGGAAGCTTACTAGGAGCCAAGGGCCAAGGCAGTTCATGCAGCAGTAGTATTGCATGGGCACCTGCAGCTTACCAACAAGAGCAGCCCCATACAGAGCACTTTGCAACAGTCCAATGACATCTACATGGAAGTAGGACACATTTTCAAATGGTATGGAAATATGCCACTGTGAATAATAACCTGTTTTTAGTATTTCCTTAAGTTCAACTCTGATAAATAACCTTACCACTGGATTCAAACATCATGCTGAATCATAATGAAATTGTTTTGGCCTGACACGTGTGTGTGTGTAGAGATATAATATTGAGGGCTTGCTGGTACAAGTTAATTCCAAAATGTACAATTGAAGACAAAAATCTAGAAGACCGAAGGCAGCTTAAGACAGTAATAAGGTTTTACTGTTTGATATGCTTGAACTAATAACTGTTTATAGCTCTCCGAGGTCTTTGGATCCAGTTACCTAAGGCACTTCCTACAGGCTTCAGAGCTGTGATGTGTATTTCAGGGGAGAGCATTGTATATATTTGTATGCATCTGAACTAGACTGTGTTGTTTCTCCATGTCATATAATATATATGAGGGTACATGCATATGTATGGATGTATGGTATTTATCTTTTCTCATGTTTATATTTATATTAGACGTGACCCTTTGAGAGATGTAAACAATTAAATCTCATTTTAATTTATGCCAATTAGTGTACATTCAGAGTGACAAAATTATTCTGTTCTGTTCTATTCTATTCTATTTAATCTGTAAGTAGTTCAACACAGAGGTAAAGATGTTTGGGGAAATGAATCACAAGGGCTAGATCTGAAAGCTGGCACTTTGTAGCTTAACAAAATATTCCATTTGTACAAAAAATACTAGCTCTTGTTTCCTCAATTCTTTTACTTCAGATTCCGTAGATCCTGATGAGAAGAAGATAGAAGAAGATCAACAGCAAACATTGGAACTTTCAGCAGGGAATGAAATTCCAGAAAAGGGTTTGTCTATTGGAGAAAATGAAGAAGAGGGAGAAGATGAGTCTCAGCCCAATTCCTCAGATGATTCAGCAGTTGAAGGATGTGAGGGAGAAAATGATTTAGAGCCTTTTGAATCTGACAAGTTAGAGGAGACCTCCTTAAGACAACGTAAAAATCAGATGGAGCCTGAACTATAGTGAAAGTACTTGAGTGTATACTTTTAAGTGGACCAAAGATGATTGGGACCTTCGTTTTGCAGCTGAAGCCAAATATTTGACTTATAAGACATTGCAGCTAAATATAGGCTGACTGCCAGAAAGCTTCTGTTTTTATTTTTAAGGTCAATATTTTGAATGTAAAATACGACTAACGTTGAAATCAGAGACATGACAATCAAACAACCACATTGAGTTCAGGAATAGGTAAGAGGTTTTATTGCATCATCCATACAGTGGTGGGTTCCAGATCCCATTCCCACCAATACGATTGGAACGGGTCTGGCGTTGCCCACATGGACACATGCATGGCACGCACATGCGTCGTAGCTGCCACGAATGTTTCCACAAGCCTCCACAACACCAGTTGCTCAGCGGAGGGTCACACAGGCGCTGTATGTGCCATGTGCATGCGTGGAAGCGCCAAAGGCTTTAAAGGACAGGTAAGGAGCTCTGGTGGGCCTTCCGGAGCATCGTACCGGTGCTCCGGTATGCCCGTACCGGGGTGTACTGTCTGCAACCCACCACTGCAGCCATATCATAAACTCGATGAAGTGGTCATTCTGTACAACTGCAAATTGTCTTTCAGAATTAAGTATATATAAAAAAAAGTTTTGAGGGCTTGCTGGTACAAGTTAATTCCAAAATGTACAGTTGAAGACAAAAATCTAGAAGACCGAAGGCAGCTTAAGACAGTAATAAGGTTTTACTGTTTGATATGCTTGAACTGATAACTGTTTATACCTCTCCGAGGTCTTTGGATCCAGTTACCTAAGGCACTTCTACAGGCTTCAGAGCTGTGATGTGTATTTCAGGGGAGAGCATTGTATAACAAAAACTATGTTTTCAATATAGTTTACAAGCTGCCAGGTTTTACTTTCAGCATGCTTTCTTGAAAGCCAGGAAGAGATTTTTAAATATGGATGTGGCTTTTTTACAACAATCAGTTTCATATCCATTGTCCCAATATTATAATCTGTCAAGTCAATATCTCAGTATCTGATTTGTTGGCCATTTTTAGGTTCCTTTGTATTTATTCAATACTGCTTTGATATAACATGGATACTTTTATGTATTCCAATTCAACCCCCAATGCAGGAGAAGCCTGAAAAAATATCATTGCAAATTTCTTAATGCAAACAGAATGTCTGGATGCATACATTGATTTTTAGTTTGTCCTCAATAATCAAGGTATTTATTCCGTCCCATAGTTGTCAAAGTTCTGTATAGAGTAGATCTATGAAGTAATCATATAAGTATCAGTATTCCCTTGTAAGGTTATGCAAGTGTTGAATGAGTTATGATAATGAATTAAGTTTATCAAAGAAGCAATTCAGAACAGTATTATTTCCCTTTGTATTTATTTAGAGACAATTATTTTCAGTGGTATCCAGCGAATTAAAATAAATGTCAGGATCTATTCAACTTTCAGGTGGAGAGATTTTTAAACCTAAGAAATGATAGGCTCAGATGAAAGTAGTAAAAATAAAGCACTATATTTGCTTTATGTACATGCTGTCACAATATTTGTCAGTTGCATTCTCTGTTGATTAGAACTATTTTCAAGTTTTTGTTAACCTTTTATTGCACTAAAATGGGTCTTAACAGCTATACAATTTGCTTATTAAAATACCTTTTTAAACAAGTTTTAGTAAAACTATCCATTGCACTTTGTTAATGTTACAGAATATAGAGCAAATAGATTTAAGTGTTGGGGGTGGGGGAAGCATTTAATGTCAAATAAATGTTTAAATGTACATACTTAACCTGTACAACTGTATACTTATTTTTTTAAAAACCATGTTGGAGAATCTTAACATAGCACAGTTAAAGAAACTAAAAGATAAGTTGTTTGTCAGTTATTTGATTTGAGTCTTAAACATCTGAACCTTAGTAATATGACCAAGCATATTTTTTTGATAACGTGAAAGATTCAGGTTGAGTAGCTGTTTGAGAAGCTGGTCCATGAGGATTCTATCCTAAACGTGTGTCCATGGAACTAAAACCACTGTTTACTTTTAAGTAAAAAGAATCCCGTGTTAAATGGTCTGGGCTCAGTATGACAGTACTCGGTATATTTTTCACAGTCGTAGATTGTAGATTGTAGAAGTTTATTTATATGCCGCCCTTTTCCCTGGGGGGACTCAGGGCGGCTCACAACCCAAAAGGGGGGCGGGAAGACAAACTTGTAACATAT